AACTAGATGGTCTTTAAGGTCCCTTCCAATCCAAACCATTCTATGATTCTGTGAACTTTACCTGGGTCCAGGGCTGGCAGCTCCCTTTGTGTGTGGCACTGAAAGCAAATTAGCATGTGGAGAGGATGGCAAAGTCCAGCTGTCATGTCCTGAGAATACCTGAAGATTATTGCTGGAGCTCTCCAACAAATTAACTTGGGGGGCAGGGAGGGGAGAGAGAAAAAGCAACAAAGAAATCCTCAGTGACTATTGCAGAGACATCGTCTTAAGGCAACAGCAGAACATGGGTAGGCCTGAGGAAGCAACCTGATCATGAGGTTCCTAACCATAGGTAAAAGGACAAAATTCACGTTTATTAAGAGAGTAGCAAGGTGCTATTGTAATTCCAGGTGGTATATGAGAAGGTACAGCATGATAGACGTAGGATATGCATTTTCACAAGTCTGACTAATAGTCTTTTCATTAATGATAATTGCCATATGACTGGCAATGTTTTGATACAGATTTCCTTATAACTTGAGCTTAAATATTTCCGTTAAACAGGATGCCATGCTAAATTACAATTAGTGAGCAGATTGCTTTATCCTTACTCTTGTTTCTGGCCAAATTCCTCTGATCAAAGTAGAATCAATTTCTGGAACTCTGCACCCAGATCTAGAGAGTGAAAGGGAGTCAGAAGACATTTTGGAAATTCCAAAATTCCCTCATCTCAAGTCAGCTCCTACCATGTTCCTAAGGGCCTCTTCAACTTAAGAGCACAACCGCTTCATGACATGACATTGAAAGAAGGCTTGCAATGCTCTTTATGTATAATTGGGAGCTGTACTTTAAGCAAGATTGTTCATTCTCATTTATAATTAACAGTTACAGTGCACCCAGCTCTTTGTACCTCTTGTTTTGCTGCCTTAAACATACTCCATGCAAGGTTCAGTGCAGATTGTTACAGAGATTCATCGTGCTCTTTCCTAGCCTCAGCTCATGCTCGTTTTAATGCTCATGCTAACCTAAAGCAACGGTCGGTCAGGCAGAAAGTGTCTGTTCCCTGGAAGCAAAGCAGCATTACGGTTGTACCTGTAGGTGAGTGATTTCTCTGCACGTAGGAAGGTGGGTATGGAGCAGCCCGATGCCCTCGCAGTGCTGAATATCGCTCGCAGCCATGGGGAGTGTGTGGAGCTGGCAGAGGCAAAGGTCCAGTGTACTGATAATTAGAGCTTCCCGACGCACACATTGTGTCTGGGTTGGAAATCAACCAGCCGCCCACTTCGAGGGGAAAGGGAGAAGAAAACTATGATTGCACTAAACCACTGCAATACAATAAAACAGCCAGCCTTCTTGAAGAATAAGCTGTGCCTCAGAAATACCAAGCAGTTTCCAAGATAGTGGTTTATGGAACAACAGACAATCAAAAAAAAAAAAACCACCACCCCCCCCCCCCCCCCAAAAAAAAACCCAACCCCCCCCCCTCCAAAAAAAACCCCAAACCAGCAACACTAAAAAAAGACCTGAAAACAACTAACAAAATGTCATAAATATCAAAGAATGAATGAAAGAAAAACTGACGACCGTTAAAACAAACACAAGCTGTGCTCCCCCCATTTTTTTTTACCTGTTCACCAATGAAAGGTAATTTTTTAGGTGATAAAAAATTCACAGTTACAGATACATAAAAAAGGGGGAGAAAGCCCTACAAATGCCACATATTATCTTGATTCTAAATTCCTTTTAATGATGAAAAAACGGATCATAAGGAAAATGATCCTTCTGCAGAAAGTGTCACATTATTTCCTACTGTGAGGTTTCTTGAGTTTTGTTTTTTTTTTTTTTAAATGATGCTTGTCTATGAACACAATTTAGGTCTTGGTGAATGATTGATATGATCCAGTTAAGCAAGTCCCACCTCCCAGCACCTAACATATTACACAAAACTTCCAGGTGACACGAATAAAAACCTTACAGTGAGAATATGTCATATGTTGACCTTCAGAGACTGTTTCTGGAGCATCCTTGGGATGATTTCTGAAAAGCAGAATGCTTAATGGTTAAATTTCTCATTGAGAAATTACAAAAGAAAGTTAAAACCAGAACTATTCACTAAAAAAATGGAAAAGTAAGTTAAAAAGGAGGGAAATCCATCTTCTTTAACGACTTGCTAGGCAGCAGAAGACTTTTCTGCAGTCTGCCATGAGGGAAGCAGGAACTTATGTTTCATGGCATACATAAAAATGTTCCTAAATTTGTGCCAAATTTGGGGGCTGAACCTGGAATTCTAAATCTACCTGTGGGTACCGTTTCTGCTTGCATCAACAGCCTCATCCTGGCCTCCCGCCCAGACCAAGGCCGGGCTCTGCCTCCTGCTCAGCCAGGCAAGCCAAAGGCAGGATTCCCCCTCCGCAGCTGGAAACCCCGACGCTGAGACACAGCAGCTTCTTAAGGGGTGAGAGGGATGGGAAGAAATACAGATTCTCCGGCAGGCATGTGGGATACTTCACGTGTCACAAGACACAGCAGGTCCAAACAAAATTTATTAGCAATTATGGACTGGAATGCATCATTTGGATGCCCCTCTGCACCAGCGTGGATGATGCAAGTAAAACTTTAGAAAGATAAACCACAATTTGTTTCTGATGGAACCGTCTCTAACATCTTATATAGTGAGCACCTACAGGTTACTGTTAATAAACACATCATACGTTATCACACAGATTTAATAATAGCAGTGTAGTTACGTTGAAGTTGCTGTGCACTTTCACGCACTTTCACTTTAGTTATGCTTTTCGACATCTGCAGTTAACTTTTATTCCCCTGAGCTATCAAGTTACAGATTCATTGGAGAGTAAGTACAATGTAGCAAACATATGCAGTGTATAACATTACTGGGGAAGTTCACACCATCTCATTTCAGGCTTCCTGTGTAGACAGTGATAAATCCTAGGATTGCCAAGAGGATATTGACCCACTTCAGACCCTATTGTAATAATTATATAGAGAGCCTTCCCACTAATATCAGTGGAGTGACTCTGGATTTAAGACAGCAGAAATAAGATTAAGTTATATAATTTATCTTTCACATTTTGATGCCACAGTTTTAACCTTATCAGCAGCAAAATGCTACTGGAGCAAAAAAAAGAACTCACCTTTCCTTCGCATCCAGGAAGGCTTTGGCAAAGGGATTATACTTGATTTTGAGAGCTGTTATCTTGAGTTTACAGAAAACAAGGCATGTTAGTGAAGGCAATTTGGAATAGACGCTTGACAAAACATCTTCCAGAGTAATCTAGGTAGAACTGCCTTGGTTAGCCTAACAAACTATATCCCCACACATTATGTTTTCCAGGGCTGGTTTGGGGAGAGCTTTGCTCACTGCAGAGTGCTGTGTACTGCTCAGTGCCACAGGCATAACACCAGTCAGGGCAGCCTAATGGCATGGTCCAGTCTGGCAAATCCTGTGAGATGGCAAAACTTTCAAGAGAATTTAAACACTGAAATCCTACCAAGCATGAATCAAATCTGCAGCAGCACTAGCTAAGGGATATCACATGAGTTAGGAACCGTCACAATCCAAAGCATCCCTCAATTACAGTTTTGGGGTTGGGAGGAAATTTTCCCATGGAATGTTGCACTGTTCTGCAATTGTATGTATTATGAGGAGCGGGGAGAGATAGGGTTATCATTATAACTATCGGTCATTGCTGGAGAAAGATGCTGGACTTGACTGTAGGGGTCTTTTTCCAGTAAGGGACTGGGATGCCAGGACAGATGGACCAGTTTGGAATAGCTGTGACAGGATATTAAGCTAAACCTGGCTTAGTACTGCAGCCAGACACTAGATCAGACAATGTTCGACCGCAGAGAGAAGATAGAGTATTAGACTGGATGGAGCATCACACTGCATGGGACTGGCGGGGAAACAAGAAAAGGACCGGTCTGTCCATGCTGATCTTGTAGTTAATAAGCTTTTAATATATCTCATCAATGGTGACCAAGAGCACAGTGTGGCATCTGCCTACCTCTTCATTTTGATAGGCAGTCACAGCTATGAACTGCGTCTCAGGGAAGGAGCAGTTCATCACCATCCGGTGGGGGCCTCCTACGCGAACTATGTGTACCTGGGGCTCATATTTGTGCAGGGAGTTCAACATTATCTGCAGAAAACAAAACAGAGAGACAGACCCCAATGCCACTCTGGTATCCCACAGCTGCTCTTTTGCTCTGGCTCTATAATAGACCAGATGTCACTGCTAAACCTCCCCAGTCAGTGATTACTGACAGCAGAAGAGCAGGTGCTTTTCTCCCTTCTGATGAACCACAGGGCTGAACAGAATGAAACTTCACTGGACTTGCATTTAAAACTTCTGATACAGCAACATTAGTGAATATTTGTGTTAGCAGCTATGACCTTCAAACCATTGGGTTTCCCCTGCACTAGAGGCTGTTGAAACAGTTAAGAAGCAATCCCTGTCCTGCTTCTGTTATCTGAAAGACTCAGAACCACCATCACAGAAATCAGGGCCAGGAGGAGCTGAGGCAGTCACCTAGTCATCTCCCTGGGCAACATGAAGTGTATCTAATCAAGCCTCAACAGATGTCTCTAACCTGGCATTAAAAGCTGTGAATAGTGTTGATTCCACAATACACCTTCCTCAGGAGGTCTATTATATTGCTTAATTCTTTCTACTGCAAGATTTTTTTTAAAAAAAATCTGTACTTTGGAAAGTGCTGCGTGCATACATATATATATACATATGGAAGAACACATCCATTAGCATAAAGCACTGCTAGTCAGCTACTGCTTTCTAAAAACACCACAGAAGGGGAAGCTGAAGCAGAGAGTGGGGACATGGTTTACCTTAACACTGTTGTCCAGATTTCAAAAGAAAACAAAGGGAGCTTTAGTCATTTGTTATTTAGTGACTTTTATTGACTTTCGTTTGGGCTCTGTTTCTCATATGGCTTTTCCTCCTCTACTTTCTACTTTTTTCCTCTTCACCATATATACATATTGTGTTCCCCTGGTTTTTTTTCCAGGATCTCTTTGACCCTCCAGGTTGGTTTCCTGTACCTTTTTTACCCCCATGCATGCTTTTCCTGAGGCCTTTAACTTTTCTGAGGTCCTGCATGCAAGACAAGAATTTGCAAATTCAGATCCCGTTCTATGCTTCACATTAAATCTCGTGTGCTGATTCCATGTGTGACTTAGGAAAAGTCAGGTCATCTTTCTGTTCTCCAGTCTGTAAAAATGGAGATCATTTCCTACCTAATTAGGGTAGTAGGCTTGTGGAGGTACCTCGCAAACCTAATGGAAATAACAGATAGACAACATATAATATTTACATGAAATAAATTGATTCTGGGCTGACAAGTGTCATCCAATGTAGGAGTTTTGTACAAAACAAACAAGCAAACAAAAGGTCTTCTGCAACATTTTACCTTTAGATGCATCACCAAAATAAAATACGAAACAAAACTAATTTTCCTGTTTGCATTTTTAAGGGGTTCAAAGAGAAAGTCACTTATTTCTGGTACATGTGGTTTCTTTCCAAAGGCCAAAGCTGATTCAATAGAATATTGATAATTATCATGATGCAGAAGCAGACGTAGTAATTATTTCATTTAGGAGCAGCCTTTTATTCTGCTATCTGACTCCTGCCAACATTCCACTTACACCAAACAACATGGGGGAACACAACAAAAACCTAATACCCATGACCATTTTTTCCCCCTTCTCTGAAGTCCTGTGTAAAAATCCCCAGCACACAAGACCAACTCTGAAAAGCCCCCTGATGATTAAGTAAACCACAGCACTCTGTCTCTCTTAACATCAAGAAGTCCATTAAAATCTGAAAGCGCCAATTAAGGCCTGTTTATTCCTGTTTACATTTGGCCTCCAGAGAATAATTGGCATCTGTGGGTGAAGAGGCCTGTAAGGGCCTCTATAATTACATAAATGCACCCTTGATATTTCTTGATTGGTAGGTGCTTGCAATTGAAGCCAAGAGGTGTATGGGGAAACATCAGGCCATACCTGCCCACTCCCATTGAGCTTGTTGGTAAGTTTGACTTTGCTGAAGGAAATGGCAGCTTTCATCCAATGGGCCCCAAAGTTGGGAGAGTCTGGGTGGATGTAGACGCAGCTGTGGTTTGGCGGCTCTGGTTTCCCAGCCGGCACCCACTCGCCATTGACGTACTTCCAGCGGTGGCTATCAGTCGGGGCAAAGTCCAACAGGAAGGAATACATGGCGTTCGGGTCCAAGCCTGACACGCTGATCTTCAAAACAGGGAACATCCTCCTGGCCGGGAAACAAGAAAGGGAGACACCACTGGAAACTGGTTTTGAAAGACTCTCCTCCATATGTTTGTGGCCAGATGCTCACAGATTAGGTCAATGTAGAAAACATCCTCCCTCCCTCCATCTGGCTGAAGCAGTCTCTTAAAGGTTAATCCTTCATTTTATTTTTATTTTATTTCAATCATTTGGAAAAAAAACATGTTATCTCTACAGTAGGGCACTAAGGTCTTTATCATGCCAAGAGTTATGAACGTAATTAATGTACTGTGTATAGTGTCAGCAGAGCCCATGGGGTCTGGACATGCTAAATATATCCTTAGGTGTGGGACAAGAAGTCACGAACAAGATTGAACAGAGTTGAAAATGGCTGAGAATGTGGAGCTGAACCACAGATTCACTGCATTAACTGCAGAACCCTGTGATGAAGTGCACTTCTTTGGTGCTTAGATTCTGTACTCTGTCCAGTGGCCAAGTCCCACCTTGTCTGACTCTGGATACGGCCCCTGAAATCATCCTGCAATCTCCAGCACTCAGGACATAATCCTGGGTATTCATCAGACTCCCATTTGATTTATTGACCACACTACTCTATACAAAAAGGTTCTCTCCCTGCCTCTGAAGGGACTGTCATATGCTATCATTTTTGTGAGCAGAGTCAGTCACTTCCCTCTGTCATTTGCCTTGGTTCTTGTGTTAATCCCTGACATATCCCACCTGAATAATGGTTTCCAGGTAGCGCTATTCTAAATGCCCTAATAAGTCTGCTACATTCTCCTTGTCTAAAAAATACTTGTTTACTTTGTCAGGGTTGTATCAGGTTAGTCTGTCATGACAAATTTAAGAAAATGCCTTCTTATCTCATTTTCCATTGTCTTCCACATATTTCATTACTCTTTCCTTCAAAAGACATCCTGAATTCTTATTACAGGGATATATGAAAAAGTCTGTAGTTAGCTGAAACGTGTTTTCTCCCTTTTTTAAGTGCAAGTATTCACATACCATCCCACTACTGTTACATATATCTCCAGTTTGAGAAGTCTGGTTAAAACCTTGCCATTAGACCTTGCACTTGGCAGTTCTTCCAGTAATTTGGTCCCATCCTTCCATATTCCCTGACCTCATCAGCTTGATCAGGCTCTTCTGCTTTTAGCTCCACCTTAGCTACTATGCTGTCCTTTACTAAGATCTAAACATCTGTCATCCAGCCTCCCCACCATCTTGTGCATTTAAAACTGAAATCCTGCGTTTGTTTAGTTTTGGGAAAATGGTCCTTTTGTGCTTAAAGGTCCAATGTCACCATTTCTCAATCCCTTCTCAATTATTTTTTTCTTTTGTAAAGGAGATTTGCAGCAGCTCACAGCTAGACTTTCAGCAGTTTTCTGTCTGCCCCAGTACTTGTGATCCATGCCACACAGCTTTGAATTGGCATCTCAGTGCCTGGAAGTCTGCGGCAATAGAGTTAGTAAGGCCCCAACAGCTTCAGCAACTGGGAAAAATTTGTGGTCAGCAGAGCAGAGGAGTCTCCCAACAAAGGTATCCTATTCATTAAGTTTCTTAACTTGTCAAGGAATACACGTCATTACTGTGGAGGATTATTACAGCTGTTACATATCACCTCCTACATTCTTCTCATATGAGTAAGAGGCCTCCCTGCCCCAGACACCTCCGTACTGACCTCTCCTGGCAGCTGCCGTTTTGCCATGCCACTTTTTTATGCACAGGCCAATGACTCTTTAAGCTCCTTTTCTCTGCGGGTGTAGAGACTGGTTACACCAAGCAACCACAGCAATAGCCTGAGGTCCGTGGCCGTGGGGCTAAGGTGAGGTAGCTCTCTAGGCTTAGTTAGGTAGCAGTGCAAGACATCCAAAATACACAAGAAGGGGACTGAAAATCCAGGCTCTCTCAAGGGACCCCAAAAGTCTGCCCCTGGAGCCATGCTCTCCAGTGACACCCAACTGCAGGTTGCTAACAATCTCCTTATGACATCCCACTCACACCTGTCTTTCTGGACACCTTTGTATAGTTCTTGCTGTATACATTCAGCACCTTCTGCTGACAGGAAAAGACAGATTTGAGACGTTTTGGATTTTTCATCTAAGTACTTGGTGATGTAGGGCCAGCACAACATGGAGAAACTGAGATATATAGAGCCGTGATCTTTCTAGCTAAGGCAAAGATTTATATGCTACATTTAATGTGTCTTTCTGACCAGGATGCACCAACTATCAAACTGGGATCTGATAAAAAATATGGATGCGTTGCTCCCTGCTCCCCCCAGACTCCCTACAGTCAGTCTTCGAAGTAACACGCGTAGATATTTAGCTGAAATTGAAGTGGAGGGGAAAATTCATCCACGTGAAAATTTAATTTCACTAGATTTCTCAAAACTATTTGTGTTACATACAGGTTGTTAATTCCTCTGCCCACAATGGAGACTTCTCTGCCTTTCTACTTGAGAGGCTTGAGTTTACCTCCAAAAGACCTATAGACTAATGCCAGAAGGGAATAGTCATCATCAGCTCTGACCTCCTGTATCACAGAGATTATAGCACTTCCCTGTGTTAACCTGCTTTGTACACAGCTAATCGCCACCTCATTTGGACCAGCATGTCTTGACTGTACAGATTCTAGCGATGGAAAACCTACCACCTCACTTGTTCTGATGATTAAGTTGCTTTACTGTTAAAATCACATTCGTCTATCATTTGGCATAGTGAATGATGATTTCTCCAATTGTTTCAGTCAGAATGCTTTTTTTCAATGATCATGTAGGTACACACGTGACCTCCATTACTGCAATAGCTGAGCACTTCAGCCTCTTCAATTTATTTAGAGCAGATCTGCTACAGTTACTCCACAGTATAGAACTTGAGTGGGAACATGTTTGATATCAAACTCGAATGTGTAGTAACCAGTAGAGTTGCTTTAGCATTCCCCCCACTCACATTTGCCTGCATTGATCCACGGTGGATTCTCCCCACGTGCAGAGGGGAACAGTGGCACCTTCCTGCCTCCAGGCAATAACACGGACTGCAAAGTCTCTGCATACTGCATAGCTAATATGGTATGAACCCTGAGAGAGAAAACCTGTCCAATCAGAAACAGAGTGTTTGATATTGAAATGCCAACTGATTTACAATAAATCTGAGTAAAATAGGAGACTGATTTCCACCATATCACCTGCACCCCCTGGGATGTATTTTGCCATACAGCATGTGGTTTAATTTCACTGATGTCTATCCTGTTCAGAATATACCTATCTTCCCTGTGTACCTAGGCATATTGCTATGGCAGGTGATTATTATAATGAAGTACGATACAGCAATGGAGACGTATCTATGTATTAACACTGAAGTTGGTCCATCTAATTATGACATTGTGGGACCCTTGGTACCAATTAGAGATGACTCAATCACAGCAGATGACAGAACTGTGCATGCTAGAATTTGACACTTGAGGATCACTAAACAATCATCCTTTCATTCTCCTGGATGCTTCTATATTAGGTTTTGGTTTAATTTCTGAATTTTGCTAACGTGTCTGTACAAACTGTCTTAGTTTTCAGATGCAGAAGTTCAGACTGGCTCTTCTTGTTAATCGTAGAACACAACTTTCAAAAGCGTTCATATACCTGTCAGCAAGAATTACTGAGTTCGTTCTACTGATTTAAGCAGCAGCAGAATTAGATCAATATTTTTTCTTTTGAGAATCCCTCTGGAGACAATCACTGAAGAATCTTGAACCTCAAAAAAACTCAGCACTCATAGGAAACTGTCTGAAGTTTGTCTCCTTTTGAATAGCATGGAGTTGTTCAGAGAGCTCTGCTATAGGCCACTCTGTATTCCCTTTTTTTGGTGCACTGATGTGTTTGTTATGGAAGATACTTTCAGAAACGCAAGAGGTCCTTCTTCATAGTCCCTGATGCTACAGAAACTTTATAAAAGTTTTTATGCAGATGACAGTGTGACATGCTTTTATATTTTTTTATTTTGAGATTGCTGTAGTTTGATCATAAAGAATCTATTCCTTCCCCCACTGGCAGTACTAGAGCTGTCGCTGGCTTCAGGAAAAATAGCATCATGCTGATAAGGAGTGTGTAAGTTAGAATAAAAAAAAAATAAGGCAGCTTAAACAGTGAAATAAAAAGTAACCAGGCGTATTCAAAGAATGAGCTATTCCCTTATCATCATAAAAAGATTTTATCTATGCACTCACCTAGACATTTTAGAGAGAACTACTATCACCGTGCAATCATGATTTACATTAGCTGAGACGAAAGAAACTGAGAAAGCCCTGTTAGTAAGGCGCGATTCTTTGTACCAATTTTTGGTCACTTATGCTGCTAAGGACTCAGTTTAAGCTACTGTACACTAAGTGAAAGACCACTCAGAAGTTTGCTGTAGCCTAACTGCAGTTTTTAAAGCAATTTAAATGAAGCAAAAGCAGCTTCTCTGTGTAAAGAGAACCTTAAAAGCAGATTTCTATCCCTATAGGTTATTAGGAGGAATCAGAATAGCAATAGGCAGTGTTACACCAAGAGCTGATATTTTGGGCAGGTAGGTGTTCTCTCACCAGAATAACCTGGCTGAGCCAACAGATTAGATTTTTTTTTAACTGCTTTCACCTGTGTCCCTTGTCAAGCTACAGTCAACAGTAGTATCGTCCACAAATTCTGCTAAATCAAAGTCTGCAAAATTAATAAATGTCACACCACATGAGTAAATCTTTCTCTCCATCTCTTAATTCCTCTCTCCTATGTGTCTTGCAAAAGAAACGTGTGTATGTAGGGGGGGAGCGGCAGAGGGGTGGTGAAGGTACATTAAATAAAAACCTTAGCACCACTTCACAGGCCAACCTTATTCTAGTAGCTGCCTGTCTGTTATGTGCTGGACTCTGCTGCCAGCCCCGTTCAGAGCAGAACCTCTGTGGAGAGCCTCCTTCACAGCACTATCTGATTCAGAATTAGTGTCCTTCTCACCAGGTTTTGCACTCTTTTCCTATGCCTTCCTGCGTTCCCCAAATGGTAAGATATATGATTAATTTACATCACATTATTTTGTCTTTCTAAAACTGCATGTGTTAAACCAATATTCCGCACTTGTTTCTACGGGGACCAGCAACAACTACGGAGCAATACCAATGTGGGACCACGCAGTCCGGGCTACACATACATGCCATGGAGGGCAGTGTTATTGCATCCCATTCAAGTACAGGCTGCTTGTACAAGCTGTTAATATCCAAGGCCAGAAACACAAGGACTGCAGCTGGGGATTACAACACCAATCTGCTTCCGTACAGTAATTTGAGGTCTACAGGTAAGGACGTGCTAATGAAGGCTGAGGATTATTAGTACAAGAAGTCACTCAAAAGGTTTTGAGAGGTACCATCTATTCCCCTGCAAAAGTTCCCTTTTTGTGCAATCTTATGTCAGTCAATAAATTTCTCCAGCATGTTTCACAAGTGGGAATAAAGGGTGGCAGGAATGGTTTAGCAGCGAGCAGGGGCATCCCATTCTGTTCGTGTGCTGGTTTTAGGGGACTGCGAGGCTGCAGGGATAAAACCGTTATGTGCTCATCACAGTTCTTTCGAGACTGCACACACAGTTTATTATTATACTACTTAACCCCCCCCCCAGCTGTCACCTACACTTAGCCCACGGCGCTGAGCAGATCACTCACCTGCCGTTCTTGGTCACAATCATCTCATTAGTGACTTCCCTGAATCTCTGCCAGAGCGTCGCATCCTCTAAGACAACCTGGAGCTGTTTCTCCGTGGGGTCGCCTTTGTCTCTCCCAGCCCGGAGTTCGCTCTCCACCACACTGAGAAGCCTGGAGACGGTGCAGTCGCTGGGTTTTTTGCAGCCCAGGTCTGCCATGACGACTTTACTGCCAGAAACTTCAGGTAGCTGTTAAAAGACACAGATAATGAGCTAAATCAAAAAACAAGTCATTTCATTGGGCACCGTCTGACAAACGTGCTCTCCTCGCTCTTTTGCCACTGACTCGCTCTTTCCCCTGGAAGTCCCAATGGGCAGTGACACCAGCGTGTGGAGCACACACTCCACACAGAAAGAGGACTATCTCCTAATTACCTGTCAGACGGTCAGGTGGGTGGCAGGCTGATGACTCAATTGGCTGCCTTGAAAGAAGAGTCCTCCATCCAAATTAGCATGCTTTTATCTTTTTTCAACCTGAAGTGGGTCTAATTGTTCTGCTTGAGAACCAGGTTTCCATTAATGAAAATTGTTTCATTTCCAGACTGAAACAATGCATGGAAATTGTGTTCGCGCTGATGCGGACTCTGACTGAAGGAGCTGGTAACAGTCAAGACAGTTACACAGAGAAGGTAGTCTTAAAATATTTTCACCAGGTATGTTGAATAAATGCATTAACCTCTTTCCTCTATGTTCCCAAATTGAAATGTAATAGTAAGAGACCCTTCTGCACTGAGGTTTCAATGCACAAGGAGAAGGTAGCATCCCTATGCTCCACCGTTGATGCCCACTGTGTCCATCCCTTGGTCCCACAGTCATTCACAAAACACCTGCTGCATGTTATGAGCAGCTGAACTCCCCTCTGGCTGCATTTCCAGGGATAGACCCAGTGCTTCTGGTGCTGGGCATGATCCCAGATGCCTGAGGCCTGCCATTGCTGACTTGCTTAAGGTCTATCTCATACAAAAGCTCTCTCAGCATCCCTAAAACTGGCATTCCCTCTTGCCTCAGGCTGAGATCTTCCCTGACAAGTTTAATCCAACTCCACATACCCTCCACAAAGAAGCCACCATTTTACTGAGGAGTCCAACAATTTTGGCACTCAGCCAAGGATGCAAGAGACCTGGGTTCAGTTCCATGCTAAAGGGTTAAGAGGAGGCCACGTGAATACTGGTGACCCATAAACACTAGACTTCGGCACATAACAAGGCATTTGAGGGCCTAATTTCTCCTGATGCATCTAGCTCCGACAGTGTCTCTGAAATTTCTGGTCTGTTGGATATGAAATGGTCAGGGGTTGATTATTAAAACATGGAAGCTGTTTTTAGATAAATGTATTTTCTGACTACTTTTTGAGAACTTTTTGTTCTTTTAATTCAACAGCCCGTGCTGAACTCCTGTGCTTTGGTTGTTTTTAAAAGATGAAATGAGTTGGTGGATCACTGATGGGATTTATAAAGACAAGAAAGAGTCTGGAAAACTTTGCAAAATAGGATTTAAATTAAATCCATCATTTGACAAGGCTCAACAGATCTTGCAGTTAAAAAACCTGAGATACCATCTACCTAAGCAGCAAGGGCCAGAGCTTGTTGATCTTATTTGTGTTGTATGGCACCTTATTTGGCAACTAGTCCTACTAATCCCTCAAGCCCTACATGGAGTAAGGATACTTGCTGCAAGTCCTCAAAGCTGCACAGCTGCAGGTGTGCAGAAATGCGATGTTCTGCAGAACAGGAGACTTTTGGAGAGAGCCCTCAATTCCCAGCAGCCTCAGCACCATCAGAAGGTGCAAGCCACACAGGTCTCAGGTATTTTTACATCTGAGTAGTCCCAATCATGTTACTTTCAAACTTCACACTCTAGCACATCTTCCCTCTCTTCTTTTCAGCCTTTGTATACCTTCTTTAAATTATTGTAACAAAATTACCTAGATTATCAGTCAGCTCACCTTGTGAGTTACACTAGGTGTCAAATAGCAACTTCTAGTTAATATCCAGACCATTTTCACTGTTGAACAACTGCAGAATGCACTTTAAAATCTATAGGATATTTAGGTACCTGGAAATGTGCCACTTTGCATTTGGAAAAATAATTCCATCCCAGGTAGTGTGTTTGTGTGTCACAGAATATGTTTATGTCTGAGTTCTCCATTCCAAATGCTCAAAGAGGAGAGAGAAGCAAGTACTGTATTTTTTCCCTGCACATGATCAAATGGCATAGCAAATGCATAGGAGACTATGTGACACAGTTTTTAGTTTTATTATATTATAAACGTAAATAAACAGAGAAATTGGACCTGGTCGAAATACTGTCTATTTCCATTCAACAACTTCAGTTTTTCAGACAGCTCTAAAACAAATAGATCTGTGTTATTTTGGGGTGTGGTTGGTTTTTTGTGGGTTTTTGTTTTTATTTTTTTTAAGTCAAAGCCCTATTTCCACACAGCTTTTTTTAGAATTACTTGCTCAGAAATCAGGAGATTCAAAGTTGAGGCAAGTAAATGGACAATAGCTCATAAAAGTAGTAACATTGCAGTAGTTATGCACAGTCCTTTTTATAGACAAATAAAAAGGAAAGCAGCTTGGTTTTCAGAAGTACTGACTGCCCATCTTTCCCACAGGGCTTTGAGTGGAGTGATACCAGACTAGAGCCTCTGAAAAATCAGATCCAATCTGCCTTCCTCAAGATGCTTAGAGCTTAAAGCAAACCAAAAGCATGCACAAAAGCAGCAACAGTTCACGTTGGTGGAGGGGTTTCAAAACGAGGAAGTGAAACACTGTCTCACCAGCAGACACTGGGGTATTGCTGGAGGTAAAGAAAATGCTCAGCAAAGGTGGATTGGAAACAGAGGCAGCCACAAAACAGAGGAAAGGGAGGCCCTGCTCAGAGCGCATTCCTTGCCCAAAGCACTCCTGGGACAGAGCCGTGGAGAAGGAATGGTATATGGAACAAACGGATAATGGACCCATTCCAGTAATGGTCTGGGAAGCAAAGTTTTTCTTCAGTAAGACTGGATTTTTTACAGCTAGCGTCCCCAAGGGAGAAGCACAGAGGCATTTGCTTTGTAGTATCATACTAAAATTTGCATCCTGCACAATAAAAAAAATGCACTTTCAGATTCTAAAAGTAGGTTACACTTGGGTGCTTACGGCTATCACTCACACAAGGTGCATGATGCTTGGAAGTCTTGTGTCCCAGAGGAAAAAGAAAAACCAAATCGAATCTCTTAAAATACCTGACTTTCATACAGTTTGAATTTTAACTTTCTAATTCTGTTACTATAGTTCAGGATGTCTGTAACCACAACGTTTTCCAAAATGAGATTATTACCTGTGGTTGGCTAGTGGGAATAGCCCAGTAGCTATTTTCAGCATGGGGAAGGGTGTTTCAGCTGTAAGAGTTCAGACTGAGAGCAATTACTGGCATATGTAGCAACATATACAGGAGGCAAAGCTCATCACTGACATACCTTTCCAATCTAGCAGAATTAGCCAAAGAAATAACAAGCTTGCATGCATGCAAGCAAATGATCAGCTGAATGCACTTGGGCCTGAGATTTTACTTTAAAATACACATCCAGACCTGTATGAATCCCATCCCACACATCAGGCTTCCTCACATCGTATATTGTTTCTGCTTCACACAGCTGCCATGGGAGAGAGCTGCAGAAGAGAAACCGAACAGGTAGACTCATAGCCAAAGTTATTTGCTTATTGTTGGCTTTTCATTTAAAAAAAAAAAAAAAATATTAAGGGTGGAAATCTTTACTTTGGATATTTAGCCTGTTTGGGGAGAAGGAAGAGACATCCTCTAATCTCATACCCCTCTATTCACCTAAATAATGACTTTGAATACTTCCCAAACACCCCTTCACCCTCCTTTCTTGCAAGATTAATTTTTCCAAGTCTACAGACGCTGAAACTGAAGCGCAGACAGATTAATGTCACTGGACGTAGGTACTGCCGGGGCACGGAGAACAGCCCATTCTCAGATGTTAGATGGGTTAGTTCTTGGGCTGGAAGTTGAATCTCCCTGAACCTGACATTTGAAGAAAAGGTACCTGCACTTACAGAGCAACACAGTAACAAGGTGACTGACAATCATTGCCACTGCAAGTGGGACAGAGCAGGGCCAAAGGACAGAAAACCATTATCCCTCTTGTACCTGTCTCTTGTTTAATTAAACAAGCAAATCAGTAGGCGCATCGGAGGAAGCGGAAAATGTTCATACAAAACCTGAAAAGTTGTAAACTTCCCCTGAAACCCAGCTGGGAGAGCTGGGCACTTCCAACCAGGAATCAGACACCTCGCAGCTCACAGGTCAGAACTAACCCCTACTAGTTAAAAATGCAAGTACAACACTCAATCATCTCCAGCCATGTCCAGAATTTACTAATAAGAATTTAGTAACTCATATTGTTAAATGAAGCAATGAGGACTGGAGAGAGCAGTGAAAGAACAATCCTGTGACAATTACTGTAGTTTATTCACCAAGTTCCAGCAGCAAAAAGCAAGGTGTTATTTATGAGTTTCTAATTAAACTCATTCTAAAACCCTCCTGGCCACCAGCTGGTGAGATACAGCAGAAAGAAAACACAATAAAAAGAAAAAAGGCAATTAAAGAGGCCTTCCTTGCCTTGACATTGGATAGCTGTTTTTTGGCCTTTAGGTGCATGTTTCCAAATGAAAGGCAGCCCGTCGTGATCAGGTGAAACCGCAGAGCGAGACTCGCTCTTTCCATCTCCACAGCTCCCACTGAAACATTCAAACACCTAACCCCCCGCTGAACATTCAGTCCCAGCAACACCGGGGAAATGTAACCTCCACCACGACACTCCCAGGAAATCAACACCTATCAGCTACCACGGAATAATTAAGAGAGGATAAAAAGACAGCTGCCTGCCCTCTGCTTTTTAATCATGGATCCAGCCCCTCAAGAGATTGCTAGGCTAGGAGAGACTTAGAGAAGATTAGCCTTTTCATTAATGTCGGGGAGCGAGGGGACAGTTTCAATAACTTCCACCAGGCACGTTCTTAGCAGCGAGGCAGGCAGCTTGTTCAAGCAGTACCTCCCTGCCTGGTGGTATAATTGAGACTATAACCGAGATTAATTCTGAGCTCAGAAAGCATGGGGAGCTTTCCAGAGCAATCTTTCTTCTTTTTAAAAAAGAAGAAAGGACAAAAAAAAAAAAAAGCTGGTGATAAAAGTAAGTTAGTTTTAAACAATTATACTTTTCCCTAATTTGTCTTTCCTACTTGGAGATCTTCAGTATTGTCTCCAGACATGGATCAGCACCTAGAGCAAGAAACTATTATTGTTCCCATTTTTAAG